ATGGGTGCCTTATGAATGTGATTGGTGTCCTACAAGAGACCTCCAGCAACTATCTAATCCCTTTCACCAGGTGAGGACATGATGAGAAGGCACTATATGACCCTGAAAGCAGGCCCTCACCAGACACAAAAACCTGCTATTGCTTCAATCTTGAACTTCTCAGGCTCCAGAACTGTGACTAATGAATTCTGTTTAGAGGCCAGATAACCTATATATTTTGTTATAACAGTACAAAATGATTCTTAGCCTTCTGTGCTTTAGGACAGCCCTTTTTCCTTTTTTAACGAATTTGGTAATTTTGAAGGATAGATTAACTAAATAGTTTTTTCATTTCAGTTTGACTCATGATTAAACTGTTGTTTTAGCTTTGGAGAAAGAGGTTTTCATAAGATGAAATCCCTCACACAGCAGACAGGGAAAATGATATCCATAAGTGATCATTGTGATGTCAACCTTGATCACTTGAATAAGGTGCTGTTGGCCTGGTTTCTCCACTCTAATGTTCATTTTCCCCTTCTTGCTCTCTACTTGTGGAAATCCAGATTAAGTTCATCCTATACTCACAGTGGAAGTGGAAGTTAAGCTTTATCTGTTCTGGTGAGAGGTGTCACCATGTTGTAATGAATTCTTCTTAAGCAAACTGACCTTTCTTCCAAGTGTTTGTTTATTCATCATTCATTTACTCTGTTTTAATATGAATGCTCTATAATCTTGATGATAAACAAGTGTGCGCGCACACACACACACACACACACACACACACAATTTTGAACCAAGGGTTCCCCCACCGAAATACAAATCCCTTGTCGGAAGACTGTTATTCCTTGCACTTACTAGACATTTAGTATAGGTTTATAGTAATTATCTAATTTAAAATAAATAAGCTTGGCATGGTGGTACACACCTTTAATCCCAGCCCTCGGGAGGCAGAGGCTGGTGGATTTCTGTGAGTTCAAGGCCAGTCTACATAGTGAGTTCCTGGCCAGCTGGGGCTACAGGGAGACCCTGTCTGAAAAAGACAAAAAGACAGAAAAAAAAAAAAAAAAAAAAAAAAAAAAAAAAAAAAAAAGAAACCCAACCCTGCCAAAACAACAATAACAAAAATGTGTTTTAATTTCAACTGACAAGTACTATTTTCTCACTTATATAACAGTATTATAAACTAAAATTGAAAGTAGACTTTAGAATAAATAAAAATAAACACTTGAATGGTCATATTTTAATATGTATTAACAAAATGAAGGGTACTATGAAAATAGATTATCAACACTGAGATCATCATGTTCGTAGTTGTGTTTTCTTAAGTCTTCTAGGCCACAGACATAATCTGCTGGTTTCTTTTTTGTTAGTTCACGAGATCAGAGTGAGACCCCCTCTGGAAAGTTATTTTCTGATGCAGTCACTCAGATAACAACAGAAAGTCCAGAAAAAACTACGTTTTCATCTGAAATTTTTATTAATGCTGGTCTGGACCCCACTACCCAGAAGCCACACAAGTTTCCTGTCAAGTTTGCCTCATCTTCTTCCGTGCAGCAGCACACAGCTTCTCGTGGCAAAGATGGTAAGAGAATGTAACTGCTTTACATCAGTGTACCAATTTTTATGTGCAATTATCTTTGAGCTGTTACTGTGTCTTTCTCCTCATTAAACCTAATTTTAGTTTAAGCATTATGAACTATAAAATTACTGTGTTCATCTTTTGTTTACACATCTATGAGAATAGGTTTTTTGAAAATCTTAATTTCTAGTAGAGTATGTGGAATTCATGCTGCTTATGATTGACTTATTTTTGACTCATAATTTTTGTAAAAATGCAGGTAGTATAAGGACTTAGTTGATTCTGTTTTTCAGCAGGCAGATGAATTATTGGCATTTCAGTTCATAGTGATATGACATGCAGGATGGTAATAGTGCACAGTAACAGTGTATAACTGCTGTCTTGGATTCCTCATTTGGGTCATCTGGAAGGAACAGGGAATGTGGAGCAACTCTCCAGCCTCTGCCTGTTTGTTTTAATTGGCTCCTGTTGAAAGCAAAGATATATTTCGTTTTGTTTACTCATATATCCCAAGAAAGGTGAACACCGAGTGGCAGATGAAAGGTACTCAGTAAGTATTCAGTGAGGTAGTGCTGCTTTGTCCCTAACTGTTCTGACCTTTTCTTCCTTAGCCCAGCGTGAGCTGTTGCCATATAAGCCATCTGGTAGTTCGAAGATGTACTATGTTCCACAATTAAAAACAGTTCCTTCATTTCCGGATTTCAAATCAGACACTACAGTTGAGAGCTCACATCCAGGTATTATGGAGAGATTACTCAAGATTTTGTTTTTGGAAATGTTGTGTGTTGGCTAGTTGATTATGAAATGACAAGTGAAGTGAGACATGGAGGTTTCTGTTCTTTGACCTCTAATTCAGAGAGGTGAGTCATTTGATCAGCTCTATTCTCTAACCTTAAGCATTTAAAAAATATTCAGTGAAGAAAATTATGCATTTGTTAGGGTTAGTGGGCCCATCTACAGAAAGGTAGAAAGCTCAGACTGTCTTGAGCATACTGCCTACACACTGTTAAAGCTATTTGTTTTCTTAGTATATGTATAGTGTAATAAATAGAAAAGGTAATATTTTTAGCTACTAAAGTATAAGAATACAAATACTGTTTTGATCTAACAAATTGACAAGCAAAAGTGTTACTCCTTTCTAACTGGTTATTTTTAAAAAACTTAATTTTTAAAAAATATTTTATTTACAATTTTTATTTTATGTGTATGAGTATATTGCCTGCATGTATGTGAGTGCACCCGTATTGTGCAATGCCACGGAGGTCAGAAGAGGGCTTTGGATTCCCCTGGAACTGGAGTTAAGGATGGTTCGTAGCTGCCATGTGGGTGCTGGGACTCGAACCCGGGTCCTCTGCAAGAACAATCAGTGCTCTTAACCGCTGAGCCATCTCTCCAGCCCCTGAAAAAACTTAATTTTGTTCCTGAAAAATAGCAACTAATTACTGATGATGTGTGCTGTTGTTGGGTATTGCACCACTTCTGGTGAAATGGGACATACCCACTCTCATTTCCTCTTTTAATGATGACAGTTGCCAGAAATTCAGCTTTGCAAACACATAACAGCATTGACAGGAACATATAAAACTGTCACGCTGAGCTTTTAGTTCGTGGGGGTACACTTGATGCTAAATATCACTAGTGCTTCCTTTGAATTTTAACTCACAGCATCCCTGTAGAGGAGCCCATTGTGCTTCTGAGTTGGTATGGTGGGGGAACGTGATGGTGAGGTACTATTTTCTGTGGTCTATTTACTATAGGAGATTCACTTTCTTCCTGGTTTGTATAGATTTTTTTTTTTTTTTTTTTTTTTTTGTTTTTTTGGGGAGGGCGTCCCCCTCCCTTAGCCTCAGCTGGCCTGGAACATGCTATGTAGACCAGGCGGGCCTTGAATTCTCAGATATCTGCCTGCCTCTGCTTCCGAAAGTGCTGAGATTAAAGGTGTGTGCCACCACACCTGGCTGGAAAAATATTTGTGTAGAAATTTTAAAGAAAAGAGAAATTAGAGTACAGGTGAGATTGGCTCAGTGGTTAAGAATACTGGCTGTTCTTACAGAAGACCAGGGTTTGAATCCCAGCACTCACATGATGGCTAACAACCATAGTTGGATTCCAGGGTATCCAACTCCCTCTTCTGTCTTCTTTGTGCCCCAACATGGGCATTTAAAGTTTAAATTTAAAAATTTAGCCGGGCATGGTGGCACACGCCTTTAATTCCAGCACTTGGGAGGCAGAGGCAGGCGGATCTCTGTGAGTTCAAGGCCAGCCTGGTCTACATAGTGAGTTCCAGGACAGCTGGGGCTACAGGGATACCCTGCCTCAAAAAAAAAAAAAAAAAAAAAAAAGACAAAAAATAAGTTACAAAAAAGTTATTTGTGGCATCAGATTGTTAACTTTATATTAAAATGTAACTAATTTTAAAAATATTATTTCTATGTGTATGCATGTATTGCCTGCACGTAGGTAAGTGTGCCCATGTTGTGCACTGCCCGCGGGGAAAAGAAGAGGATGTCAGATCCCCTAGACCTGGAGTTAATAGATAGTTGTTAGCTGCCATGTGGGTGCTGGGATTCGAACGCGGGTCTTCTGCAAGAACAGCCAGTGTTCTTAACTGCTGAGCCATCTCTCCAGCTGCATAACTAATTTCTTATAGTAACTGATTATAGCCTCTGTAATGTAATGTAACTTCTAACTCTCCATTATGATGGAGCTAAAAGGATGTACCACAAAATGCTTTGCAAATGTGAGGATTGATTAATTTATCAGAATTGAAGAAAATTTCAGTCCTTCCAAGGCTTTGATTTTTAAAAAAAAAAAAAAAATGTGTTTACAGAAATAAAACAAGCTCACTTGCTAGACTTGGTGGTATATACCTCTACTCCCAGCATTTGGGAGGCTGAGGCAGGCAAATTGCTACAAGTTCAAGGCAGCCTAGAATACAGTGTGAATCCTTGTCCAGTATGGACTATAATATGGAAACCCTGTTTCAAACAAACAAAAAAGCAAAAAATAACTTTATGTAATTTTCTGTAGATAAATATTTGATCCCTTTTACTCTTAATTCAGAAATTGTAAATAGAACTTTGGTTAAGTTTCTTAATACTTTTTGAGCTTTCTGATGTTGTACTATCCATTTACATCTTTAAAATTTCCATCTATTTAAAGACACTAATGAGAAAAATTTAACAATGGAGGGTGATGGGAGCTCAGTGGCAGTATATCCTATTCTGAGAAATATCCTTCTAAATAAAGTACTTAATGCCTGTTGAAATAAAAAGAGAATATGAGGGGGTCTCTCCCTCCCCTCGTGGGTCGTTGGCCAGAAGGGTCCACGAGGACAAAGGGAGCAGAAGCGACGAACAAACGGGGTCAGGACAGCCAGTGAGCACTGACTGAAGAAAGCCCTTCCAGGGAGGCAGATTCAGTGATACAGCTCCAGACTCAGAGAAACAGCTCCAGATTCAGTGATACAGCTCTGTTTATTCAGTGGGGGTCAGGGAAAATACAGTGTGGAGGCAACAGCCAAAGCTTCAGCTGATAGGTGCTCAGAGTATGCTTTATTTACGTGTGGTAGGGGGATCCTATCATCTGGCTATAGGGCAATGCATAATTATCATATAGAAAAAACCTGAGGGTAGTTTTTACTCCAGGTAACTTTGCCAAAGGTCACGTTACAAATAAGTTCAGGCATCTGTACTTGGTGGCACTTTCCAGGTAAGTCAGGCAGGAAGCCCCTGCTGAGAAAGGAGCCGACCTTAACAGCAGGGTTCCCCAACAAGACTAGCTATACCTATTGAGACTGTAATTGTTTCTGTTGTATATTCTGTGAATGAGGAAATTGGCAATAGAAAATAATGCTCTTAGACTAAGCTGAGAAACTGTTCCTATAGCTATTGTTTATCTGTGTGTGTGTGTGTGTGTGTGTGTGTGTGTGTGTGTGTGTGTGCGTGTACGCATTTGTAGATATTATGAGAAGAATTAACGCATTTGGAACTAACAGCAAGCCGTACACCAATGTTAGCAAACACTGGTGCCAAATTGATTGTTCCTCAGCTGAAAATGAGTAAATAAGAAAACTTCAAAGATTCTTTGTTGAAAAAGAAAGAATAAAAAGAAAGCAGATAGGACAATGGAAGAGGCTCTTGAATTTTACTTCTTTGGTCATTGACTTTGGTAGGAAGACGTATACAAGAATCCCTTTATACTGAACAATAACCTCTTTGATGACAGGAGCCTTGATGAGAATAGTAGTAGTAATAGTAATAGTCTCTTTCCCTTGCGGTGGTCCCATCCTGCACTGAAGATTAGAGATGTACTTACTAAATGACAGCTCTTCTTCCCAGAACCAGAAGGAACAAAATGGAGCAGAACTTCTTTCAAAAGTTTGTCTAAAGAATTGTCAGTATTAGACATGCCTGATGGCTTCATGGAAGACTCTGTTCACAAGACTTGTCTTTACTTGACCTAACTCAGAGCCATCCAGTGCTAAAAACCTCTCGGGAGCAAAGTGGAGGGGCTTGTCAAAAACATAAGGAATTATTTTAATGTCACCATGCCTGAAGTGAAGGTGACAGTTAAGGCAACAATAAATTAACTGAGATATGTTAAAGAAAACCCAAGGATGAGATTGATGACTGCAGATGTTTTCTAAAACTCTGGCATTCCTGGGACTCTAGTAGATGATGCACGTAGATCTGTGTGTGTGCCCAACTCTTAAATGTGACTCACCTTGAAGTTCTGTGCAAGGTTAAAAAAAAAAAAAAAAAGGAGAATCCTGGTGGTGCACGCCTTTAATCCCAGCGGTGAAGGTGGGGGTGGGGGGTGGATCTCTGGGAGTTCAAGGCCAGCCTGGTCTACATAGTGAGTTCCAGGACAGCTGGGGCTACAGGGAGACCCTGTCTCAAAAAGACTTAAAAAAAAAAAAAAAAAGGAGTTGACAACTGCCTGGATCAGTGTTAAAGCCACTTCAGCAAAAGCACAGAACCAAAGACATGAAGACTTACTGGTTTCAGGTGTCTAATGCAGTCTCTGTACTGGCATTAACTGCCCACCAAGCTAATCAAGTAGAAACTTTAATGACCATACATAACAAAGAATATAGCACAAAACAGTAGCACCAAATCCTGAGATTGGAGTAATTGCCACATTATACTATATTATTTAAGTGTCTAAACTTGTGACAAAAAGATTATAAAGGAAAAACATAAGATAGTGTGTTCCATATACAGAAAAAAAATTGAGGAATTCCAGACACAGATTTAACTACTTAAAGTATGTTTGGTGAGTGAAGTGGAACATGTTGTGAAGAACCAAAGGAGAGTATGGGAACACTCCTTACTAGACAGAGAATGGTGTAAAGAGATAGAAATCATAAAAAGGAGTCGTGTAAATGTGGAATTGAAAAAGTACAGAAAGTAGGAAATATTTGCTAGAGCTCAATAGATGATTTAAGCAGGCAGAAAAAAGAAATTGAAAAATTGAAGATAAGCCCATCGAAATTGCTTAGTATGAGAAAAAAGAAAAGTGAAATGAACAAAATCTCAGAGTTCTCTGGGAAATGATTAAGTTGTTAATATATACGCAGTGGAAGGGAGGAGTCAAAACAAGAGGGTAGGCAGAAATGGATAAAAGGAATATTTGAACAATGAACCCAAATTCCCCCAATTTGATGACAACCAAAACAACTTCCAGATACATACTAATCTGGAAGATACATAGTAATCAAACTATCAAAGGCCAA